CAATTATTTGTATGGAGATCACTCTCCAGGCACTCTAGTCCGTTTGGATTTTTTCTCCTCATTTCAGAGGATCGTTAGGTTAGCCACCTGATTGACAGCCTTCTTCCAAGAGTGCATGGTGCAAGCCGTCTTGTCCAGGTTTGTTGCGTTGAAGCAATGAGATTGCATGGCGGACTTCCGTTCTCATTGACGGATTGATTTCGAATTCTCACTCTGGTTCAATTAACCCTAAAATAGGGTGAGTTTATAGAGTCCAAGTGAACTACTCTTCACACTGTTCAACGCATCGTTCCTGACGAGGTTTCTGTGAATGGACTGAGGTCCCATTGTTTCCGAGATATTTTCACTAATACCCGCCCTCAGATTATCTGAAGCAGGGTGCGATTGTTCTCAAAATCAAAAGCCTTCCTCATCTTCGGGCTCTTGTGATCCAGCAGCGCTCTCTTCATTCGTAGGCTCTTCATTATTTTATGTTTTAGGAGCATGTGATCGCCATCATAGTCGTTTGTTTTTGGTGTGGTCTTTGTGGCACCATTCATATTTGTTGAACTAATGTTCACTGGGGTACGCAAGTTTCCCCGAGCAGAAGCTGTGACCATGGCCTCTTTCATATTTCTACAGTTGCCGTCCAAATTGTCATTGTTCCCCTCAGAGCCTCGCAGTCAAGTCAACTGGATATTGTTGAGCTACGGAGACACTCTGCATGTAGTGAACTGAATCCCTTTGCTTCAACCGACGTTTTGCAGAGGAGAATCGAATACATATGTATACATATGCGTGAAGTTCAGTGGTGCACTAAAAAATGAACAAAAAATTTGAAACGGTGTATGATTACGACACTGTCTAAATGGGCCCAAGGCTGGTTTGCAGTTGATGGCCTCCAATCACACGGTGCGGAGACACTCTGCATGTAGTGAACTGAATCCCTTTGCTTCAACCGACGTTTTGCAGAGGAGAATCGAATACATATGTATACATATGCGTGAAGTTCAGTGGTGCACTAAAAAATGAACAAAAAATTTGAAACGGTGTATGATTACGACACTGTCTAAATGGGCCCAAGGCTGGTTTGCAGTTGATGGCCTCCAAGTCACACGGTGTGAGCGCTTGTGCTGGATAGGAACAAATGATTTCAAGGTTGCTTTCTCCAGAGGCTCGTTGCCCATATTTGACTCATTAGGAGTGAAGATCTTCCTTAATATACCTCAGGCTCGATTTAACCGCAAAGGAGACGCTTAGTAACATAGGATGCAAGATATGGAAGGTTTTCCTGAAATCCCATAGAAAGTTTAATCAGCTTTTGGTACTGCCACCGTTGCACTCTAAAACTGCCTTGTTTAGACAAGCAGATCACTGTTAGCCTGCATCAGTGAGATGACATCATTTTTTTGTGATATACCCCAAGACTGCTCGCTGATTCGATTACCACAAGCCGAAAACCTGGGTTTTTATGGTAACGGCTAGTCTATTCTACCTCCCCTCATAACACGGGATCAGTTGCAAGACAAGTGAAGCGAGGCTCTGGAAGATCATAGCAAACTTTTAGTGAGGGATTCAAAAATTACGTGGTCGGTCAGTAACGTACAAACTGTGCTCGAAAAAGGCAGTTCTCATTGCACGTTGCTGAATCCCGGTTAACTAACTGTGTAATCCGTTTTAGGTTGCTTTTGGAACCTGGTCTAAAAGCAAATGTCACTTTCTTTACGGTTGTATAATAGCTTTTCGGTCACCTGACTTGGTCACCAGGCTACTTGTTTTACGCCATAGCGTCTTCCCGAAGAGTCGGTGAGGTTACAGAGTTTTACTGAATATTTTGTACATCGAGCTCTAGAAGGCTCAGTGGTCAAGATGCGAACTTACTGAGTTGAATGTCCGTGGGGGGAACCGAACCTCGGCAGCCCCACTGCTCCTATCTAGGCTTCATCGTCCTGGTAGAAAATTCAACCATCATGCTTCCTTCTGGTATCACGGCAGCTAGACACCGAAAGGATGTCATAGCTGAACAATTATTTTGGTCAAGGTGCAGTAAGTGGGCTCTCTTGGTAAATTGAGTGGAAAAGCGCGAGGTTATATATTGCTCTGGATTGACCATATTTTTCGCTAGACGATTAATTACATGAGTACTAATTAGTTTGACCAATTCCGGTTTATGGAGGTTTTAATGATTCGCTTAATATCAATAAGAATTTGCGGTCAAAAAATATAGATTGATTAAATAAAAGACTGAATTTGGTGTTGGATAAGTTAAATTGGCCACTATTTCGCAGCAATGTTTCATTATCTATGTAAACACAACAGTGAATCACAAGCATTTATAGCTGGTCTGTTATTGTCTGTGACGTTAGTAAATACAAAACGATAAACTGCGCACAAACTAGGTGTAACTTTCCAAAGTTCTGCCTAGATATCAATTCTGAGTGTTAGGTGATGCAAACACCCTACACAACCTTCCAGTGAGTTCTGATGGACAGTGACAATCCACTTAGCAAGCAAGCCGACACATTGCCTTTTGGAAATAAGAAGTAAGTAAACTTATTTGCCGTTTACATTCCCGCTCAAGATGCCGCGCACCTCTGCGTTACCTGAACCCACCGTACCTGAATATAGCCTTTGTCGGAGAAGTCCGGAGCGCTGTATCCCTCCATAAAGTGATACGTAAACGCAAAACACATTTTTTATGAAAATGGGATAACTATAAACACGAAAAGCAAGTGCAAAGCACATTGTAATATTAAATTTCCGCGGATTTCGATGCGATGTGCGTTCTACCATAATTTTTACGGCATCTATTCGGGCTGACGTCAACTGAAACATCATACGCCCTAGACGCAGCTTATTATTATATAGAGATTTTCCTCACTCAAGAAGCTTCTACGCTGGAGCATGGGAACGATGAATATAATACCACCATGCAATGTGCGTTGTCAATAGGAATGTCCGAGAATTCCTCACTGGGCATTAAATGAAAACACATTACAGTCAGGTTATGCACATTGAACAACTAAGGCGTACTGTCGCCTAATGATCTCCGAATAGTGTCAGTAAAGCGTACTGTGGCGTACGACTAACTAGCACAACCCGGACATTTCCACCAAAAATATCCAATGGAAGATGGAGGACTGACGAAGCCGTAATATTGTATATCTGACCAAGTGAGCGAACTGAGGTAGGAAAACATGAAACCAAAAATGTAAAGATACCTTCTGTTGACTTTTATCCAGAAATTTTCACGCAAAACCATTAGAAAAGTTGCCAATAAAGCAACATAAAAGAGACTCAGTATCTTTTCTGAAGGTAAAATGGTCGTCGGTGCTTACAATTCGATAGCTACGCCGAGTGCTAAGATGTACATTCGGAGTGTTTTATTGTTAAATAAATAGCACGCGCAACGGATGGCTAAACACTAGTTTAGGGACCTAAGACCAGCAGGGTCCATCCGATAAAAATAAGTTTATGGAAATTGTCAGGCCACTGCTGACATTAAGTATGGAAAGTTTGTGAAACATGCTAGTCGATTTTCACAGTGGACACTCAAAATATACACCTGCAAAGTATCGCTTGCCCCATGGCGAGGCGGTGCTCACTCCCACGAAAGAATAAACTCCTGTTCCACAAACATCATGAATTGGAGTAGCAACGCCTGCAGAGGCATATTCAAAAGTTCGATACTGTATGTTGTTAGGAATCTTGGCTGTTCGATAGCGACGATAATGAGTGACGAAGCATTTGCCTGGTTAGATGCATTGAATGAAAAGTAAAACCTTATTGACCAACGACCGCTCGGGCACATCGACCCTATTTAAGATGGCACAACGGGAGAAAGAAGCCGGGAGACCTCGGTGAACTGATTAGTTGATGAGAAAAAAATCCAGTTCAGATGGGTATCTCGATTCGCAAGTATCATTTGAAGAAAGTGGGAGACAATGCGTCTCTCGCGAAAGGAATCCGTGTCCACTCTGTGGCTTCATCCGGACTCCACAGGTAGAGTTGACTCGAAAGGATTCAGTACACCTGAACCGTTATTGTGGAAGTGTTGAACTGGCCGTTATTCGATAAAATAAGCATTCACGATGATTTGCTAATCAAGCGGTCGATTAAAACGGTGTATCACTTTACATTTGGGTTGGGCATTGGTACGTACTGATGCCTGTTATACAGAAAGTTATCCTACCGTTTACCCCGTCACGAGTACTCTGGTATAACATCTCAAAGGAATGAAGCATCCTCAGACGCGGAAAGGCCTAATAGCAAAGCAGTTAAAGTCAAATAACTCAGATAAGGCTGTTCCTATTATGGTCTGAACCTAATCACAAATGACCAAACGGGCATTAAAATGAGTTTTCATCTTTGGCAAAAACAGAAAAACTAGCAACACACTGACAGTGGCTTCGTGCACGTTTTGTATGCCTTGAATAATGTTCGACGAAACCTATTTTCACAACATATGTAACGTATAGATGATAAATTAAGATGGAATTCAGCTGGGTAAAATGGCGTCCACCTGAGACTCAAACGAATCTCCCGTTCATCAACAGAACATGCACAAGGGTTGCTTCATGATTCATTGGTATCGTATTAGGAAAAAATATTTTAATATGAGGAATATCGGCTCTACTGAAACATGAGGCAACCCTTGCTAAGCATGTTCGGTTGGAAACTACCATCAACAAAGGATCCGCTCGTATCTCACATTAGTGCCATCTTAATCTGCAGATGAGTCTTTGACTCCATATACTCTAATTCCGTGTTCCAGTAGAAAACAAGACTGACAAAATTTTCTGAGGCTACACCCGCCCGCTGTATCCCAAGAGGTCGAGACCGGCACGAGGCTGTCGAAGAATTATGAGTAATACCATATACAGTTAGTTAGTGGACCGAAAGACCACATGACACAGCATTGCTACATAACTGCATTATCAACCCATTTCTGTTTCAGAGATTTTAACATTCTTTCCAACCAGGGAAAACATCTATAAATGTCTCGTACATTGTATTGGCAGATAATGACATGGAAAACAAAATCACGGAGGCCTTTGATCTGTTCGACCATGAACGTAACAAAACGATCGACTTTCGTGAACTGGGAACAGTCGTCCGAGCCATCGGTGGAGTACCTTCGGAGGCAGAAGTCCTACAAATGGTTCGAGAGGTAACGTGGACGGTATCCATGAAAAATATCATACATTAACAGCTAGAGAACGATCCGCCGAATGGTTATATAAACTTCGAAAGGTTTCTCCCACATATGATGGAAGCGATAGAACAGGAGAAGTAAGTATGTTTTGCGTCGAAGCAGCATATAAACCTTTCAGGTTTGCTGGAGCTTCAGAAGAGGAATTAATGAAGGCATTTGCTATTTTAGACCCGGAAAAGAAAGGATACATGACTGCTGCAGCACTGGAATCTATTATGGCGAACGAAGGTATGAATAATCAAATCGACATTTCAATTTTCTTTCTTTTTAAAGGTGAACAATTCAGCTCGGACGAACTGGAGGAAATGCTCGCGGCAGCTACTGATACGTCAAAAGGAAAAATTGTTTATCGCGAATACGTAGTCTTACTCACCACATACGACGACATGTGAATTAGTTAAGAAATAAAGATTCTACCCGTTGTAATTAGCGAACTCAGAATTAATGGGTATTAGGTAGATAGAAAACTGGTGACGGGGAAACCACGTGAAATGATGTCCACTACGTTCCTGTTGCCATTTTCTATCCACGTTGAGTGCTTAGAGTTGTGGCTACGCAGGACGTTTTTGGTAGCCTAACAACAAACCCCTTCACGCCCGTCTCTTCTAACTCCCTACAAGAACGTATTTATTTGTTCTTTGAAAAATTGACATGACTTCACGACACTGACGCACGCTCTAGGATGGTGTTACTGTCAGTAATGATGATCATGGATAATTAATTAACCCTGAGATCTTCCCAGCAGACGACTACTGCAAGTTAAATCAAGATGTCTCCCTAGAAAGACAACATTGTGGAAATTGTCAATTTGTAGCCAAAACAGGATCGTCAAGTATCGACCTTAACTCACAATCAAAACTGGGAGTAGGCATCTTTGTCTGGCAACCAAATAAGGATAGCAGTTCGGGTTGTCGCTGACGGATCAACAGGTGCGTTGAAAAACGGTAGGGTCCGGTGTGTCCTATGACAAAGTCGGGTAACTAATGATGAAACCATTACTCAACTTTTAACCATATATCACATAGGATTTGGTTCCAGAAGATACCTGGGAAATCGGACAGCACTAATCGGCACTGCAGATGACAGATTAACCGGTGCGATGGAGCGGACAGCTATACAACGAAGGCGGTAGCTTTGGCATAGGAGCGCTACTGGCTGTGGGACTAAACCATATGTTGATTTCATTAGCCGTAGACGCCGCATTCCCGTGGAACGTAGCAACAAAATACTCATCCCTGCGACTGCCTAGAGGCATGTAGCACCAGTGTGACCTAATTCTGTTTCAATTGTCTACCGCGTCAGGTGTAGAGTATTCGACCAAAGGTGACCTGGTCACATACGTATGTGACGTTTCTGTGTTCGTCTTCCTTTGGCACTCTGTGACTATTCGACGACGTGTCAGGTTCTCAAACCGTCAACCAACCTGTACTGCTGTCACCTGCCTGACGGCGCTTTAGCTTAGTGAGTGAGTTCCAAGTGGGCTCGTGCTGTACATCACTTTGCCTTGCGGTGATTATAGGCCGTTTTATTTCAACTAGGTTCCTGCTTTATAGATACAACATAAACAACCAAGAAGAAGGCTAACATACGTCCGAATTCGTCAACATAGAGTCAAAATTCTTTTCAGTCAGGCATGATCACTTGAACACTCAGCTTTCGGGTATTCAAACTGTATATACAGCGTATTAAACGAGCAGTACCTCATGTTTATAAAGTGTTGTCAAGCACAAACGGAATCCAGCCAAGAGTTGAACATTTGTATCAACTATATGTTGCTTTATAAGCCCAGAAATACTGACCTGCTACCAAGTATACCAAATACCAACATGAGTGCCACGTGAATACTGTACGAACGTCTGATTTAACTGACTTTCTCGTGGGGTTGCACACATACGAATGGGTTCGACCATGTGAAGCGATCCAAGATTGGCCAATGAATGAGCAAAATACACCAACATACTGGAACCTGAATAGTAGCGTAGTTGAGCAGCGAGACTACCACAGGAATAAACAGGCATTAATAGGTGCAAACTGTTATTTTATTCAATAGAAAATGTCTGAGTTGATGTATGGATAGACTAGTGCACGAAATAGATCAAGATAACAAAGTTCTGCACACTAAAAATTGCAATGTCTGTTTGAAAGAGTAAAACGCCCTGAAGGAACGTGTTCACAGCCTTCATAAAAGTATTGAGGACGAGTGAGAGAGTATGCTTTCAAAACCTGACGGAATATTCTTCTTAATACGTCATAAATGGTCTCAGTAGTTCAATGTTATCGTAATCATGCTTTGGAAAGGGATAGCCAGGGGGAGGGCGACAGTCACCAATCGCCAGTCGGTAATTCGTCAAGCCGATAATACCATGGTAGTGAACCAGTGCCGCGGCCACGACAAAGACGTGGAAAATTTGATGACTTTGGAACTAGTAAGGGAAGGAAACAAAAAGTGCGTCGTATTAGTAGGATATTACCACATGCAAAGACACTACAGTAACACTGAGAGGTACATCAAACAGATAATGATATCCACCTTGAGAAAATGGCATCCGAAAGGTCAACGAAATGCTACGTGCTGACAAATGGTTTCTCTTGTGTAAGACAACTGTAATTTAAATGATTTCATGTTGCCTGAAACTTCCTAAGCCAATTCCGAGCAACGGGTAGCCTAACTGGCCTCCAATCAACAATGTACTATCCAAGCACGATCGGGAGAACGAAAGACAAACTTATAAATAAAATAGATGTCTCAAAAAATACCAGGCAAAAAGTAGAACAGAAGATGGTGAATCGGCATATGGGTGTGGTCGGAGCAAACAAATCATAATGGCTCTTGTCTACGTTTGCTGAAGAACAACGATGTGAGAAAAACAAACAAGTAATACCGGCAAGCAATACTTACCCAAATATCGAAACGCCCAGGAAAAATACGTTCAGGAACCCGTACAGCATAAATAGATGCACCAGTGATGTAGAGAACAGCCATTAGGAACAACCAACCAAGAGAACCATGTTGCACAGAAGGCCAGAATCCGTTTGTGATTGTAACATGCACACATGGAATAACTCCAGAAAGACCAAGAGCAATGAAAACAAGCGCACGTAAAGGACGGTAAGACGGTGAGGCGAATGTGTTTGACATGGACACTGCAATGGCTCCTGATCCAAGCGCGAATATCAGTGCCAAATAGAACAGTTTCAACCAAAGGACGCAATAAAACGAGTAGTAGAGGTAGGGCACGAAAGAACCCATGGTTAGAAAGGCGATTCCGCAATAATCCAATCTATAGGGACGGAAAAGAACAGCAGTAGTTGGCAGTTGAGGGAGTGAAACATAGCGCTGATGTATTAACGTTCTGTACATGCTGGCCTTGCAGATGCAGTTTATGTTCCACCTGCTTATAAAAACTAAAACTAGAGCTGCGTCACGATTTGCATAGATTTTGTCACTAGTTACCGCTTATTTGGCAATCTAAGCCCACTGATTGGTGCCAGAGGCATTAGCTTAGAAGCAAAGTATTGGAACATAAGTATATTCGCGAAACCTTCCAAAACACAAGGTGATTCCGAAAGCATTAGCAACTGCAGTTCCAGTGACCTTTTTAATAAGTTAATCGCAAGTACACTGACCTCTCACCATTGGTTAACGACCTCAAGATAGAACAATGTTGGCCTTCGTATTCACTTCAATTCTTAGGATACTGTCATGAAAAAATGCGCTGCGCGCTGAGGACTTCAAAAGACTTTCAACGTTTGACCATCGATGCCTTCGAAGCACGGAGTATGGTAGGAACATCGGATTAGTGATGCTGAAGTACATCGAATGGTTCTCGGAAGAAATAACTCGCCCACAATAGATGTACTGATCACATTTTATAAGTTGCGCTGGCTTGGCCACATCCTCCGTATGCCAGTAGACTAAATTTCTCGAAAGGCGCTTTTCGGACAACCATGTGAAGGGTGGGAACGAGTCAGGCAAAGTCAAACAATGACTTGTTAGCGAAATATGAAAGCCACTAACAGCAAACTCAGTTGAGCTGGTCACTGCCGTCTCCCTAGATGGGGACCCCGACGGTTAGAGACATTGTCATACATGGCCCAGTCGCACCCTAAATGGCGCATGTGCATTCAAGCTATTGCCTTCAATGCACAGCTCCCCACCCAATCTCCCCAATTAAAAGCCCACAGACAACCAAGTATTTACGTACCGATTATATCAGCCACTACCTCCAATGCGCAGCTACCTAACCCACTATGATGCGGATCAATTAATGGGGCAATGATACCTACAACGGCAGTAAGGAGAACACAGGTCAAAAAGCAACAGAACTAACAATATACTGACTCACTTATTCAAAATACGGCTGATGCTCTCGGAGTGACAGAGGACGGTATGAAATAGGCAAGAAAAGCCAAGACATAAAATAGCTCCGAAGAAAAATCCGGAAAATATGAGTTTTTCTTGCCATTGTATCAGCGCGCTCGGTTGAAGGAGGATAAAAGTAGAAATAGCGATGAATCCCGCACAGCCTGAAACCAATCAGATAAGCATATATTTGTTAGAATATGGAGGAATTCCGGAGGTGTTCACATACTCTTGGATGTAACAGGAAGGACTGAAACTGATTAAACGACTTTCAGCTGTTAAAATACCCTTTGTCAGTGGGTTGCTGTGAATATTTGCCCGAAGTCCCATTTATGTGCACAGTGTACTGCTAACCGATTCAACTTCAACTCCCGTCGCAGTCAACTCGATACTGAGGACAATTATCCCTCCTACGGTGCATTGGTATAACGCATTGGTATAACGAATCTACTTAAGGAGAGTAGTGAATACACAAATGGAGAACAAAAATCATACTGATACTGCGCTGCCATAAAAACCATTTGCTTTTTTCATTAACCACAGATAATCAAAAAATATCACCAGGTCATCAGGGCTCACACCCTCGTGTCCTAGCGCTTCTCCTGTGGATCCACATCAGCCCTGCCCTCGGGAGCCATTCGGAGGGATAGTAATCAATAACCCGGATTTCAACGACCACATCTGACATTTTCCTAACTGACGGAATGCCAACCCTACGAAGCACCACATCTGGATGGATAAATGTGATCAAAATCCAGCACGTGTTTGCGGACGACGCAGTAGCTGAGCACTTAACTGTTATCATGCGACAATCAGTGAGGAAAAACGAACGTCAATCCACGCTGAAAAACCTGGTAGTTACTGTACAGCTGTTTCATCATGAGATACACACAGCTGATGATTCCCAATACGGATGAAACAGTCTGAAGTGCGAGTTAATCACACTGCTGATCAGCTGCAAGTGGCCGAACGATTAAGTGTTCAATGTACTAACCGGGAGGTCGCAGGTTCGAGACTATCTGTGATTTCATGGTACACTGACGATTAGTCCCAATAAGGATGAGGCGGTCGTATAATGCTATTCTGCTTCTCGGCATAGATTGGCTTCATTTACGAGACGAAGACTACTAAATATCCTCACATTTCCAAGAAAAGAAAAATCAATCCTGTGGATAGTTTCGCTAGCCACCACGTACGATTGCATAAACCTCCGCCATCTCTGGTGCATTAAAAATAATTCATCAATGTGGTAGAATGCATTTCTCATTGTTCACGCAGCCCTCCGACCGCGTTTGTACTCAGATACCTCAGCCACCCTAGTAACACTGCTGATAATGCACTATAACCGAATAAAACCAACAACACCCCCGAGCAGTCAACCAATTCTACCACTCGGTCCCACCTGCTTGTTATACGCACAAAAATGATAGCACTATCAGGCGATGTCGATGGCATCGAAGTGTGTTCATCCTGGTGGAGAAAATGCAACCTAAATGAAACTGTCCCCTGGCAAATCGAATGCCCCACCAATCATGTTACTCTTTGATTCTCCTTAAAAGTTGTGACAGGTGTCTGTTCGAAGAGCGGCACTCGACGAACTTGGTCACTTGATGTGACCAAAGATTATGGCCCGTGGTTATCTCATTCACATAGATATATCAGCTTTTGTTACCAGTTCCCCCCCCCTTTATCCTTACTTGAAATATTCCCAAACCAGTACCAAAGAATCCCTGAAAAACACTGAGATATTCTTCATACGTGTGATTCTAAGGAAACTACACAAACGACCCCGTATAAATATAATATTAAACAGCGTCTAAAAATAGCCAATAACTTCCACGCTCATTGCGAGCCAAAAAAAGTCTCTCCAAGGTTTGAATTTTGTGGACTCCGTTGAATAAACGATCCATCCATGATTGCGTAAGCGATGCAGGCCATTTTGTACTTTTGACAAACATAAAAAATGGGCAAAAAGCATAGTACATCTTGTGGCACTGTATGCTAAGTGTGTAACTATCCAATGGAATAATTATCTTCAATTGTAGTGTTCTTAATTGCTTAGAATTTCGTCAAAACAGGAGTGAAAAACCGAAACCTTATCAAACACCGCAGCTACAGATAGCAACCATTCCATCAGAAATTTTAACACCGTACCTAACAGTAGAAAGTACGTCTTCCACAATCTACATAGAATTAATTTGATAAGCACGTTTTACTTGGAACCACTTGAAATCTCTAGCACACGGAAGTCATTATTCACCAGTGTCGAGAATACCGTCGTTTTTGGCTAACATCCTCGCCACCATTTGATAATTCCTAATTACAGTTTGAAGTTGTTTATCACTCCATCTAATTTATTGTGCAGTAATTTCATTGAACTTCACTGCAACGAAGATATCGTTCCATGAAAATACGGACAGCCGATGGGGCTACCACAAATCTCGTTCATAACTACATCAGGATCAGTCCTCTCTGGAGTGCAGCTGATTGTGTTTGGTTGGAAAAGTCGGACAAGGGAATTGTGCAGAAAAATTCCCCAAACATGGTTTCACATACCGACCATAATTTGTGCGCATCCGGAACAATCGATTTTAGCTCTAAAAGCCAATGACTAGAACGATCCACACAACTTGTTTTAGTACCACAGAGAATTGCCCACGATGAAAGTACGAGTAAAAAAGAGGTGATGATGGTTGATTTCTTGAGAGGAATGACTCTAATGCATAGTACACATAAATCCTCAACTTCACGGAGGAAGCAATCAATTAACTGATTCAGTGAATCAATCTTATCAAGCGGCCTTCACTGGGTACGTACCTGATGTCGCTGAAACTAACGTGAGCGGAAGGGACAGAATTGTTATCACGTACTTATACTGGAATATCTCTGACTACTGACCATTTCCAGGTTTACGAGTAGGCGGTTCAACCACACTATACACACGTAGCACATTTTGGATGTTCAATGCGAGGCCAATGAGAACCAACCTAAGTATTGATCAGTATCTAAATCTTCAACAAAGAATCATATGCAGCCGCGTCAAACGCGTTCGCATAGCCTCTGTGAGTGATTGTATGCGGTAGACAAATAACTACCATTGCAAGTACACTAATCACATGACATCCAGGCTTCTTGTGTTACTTGTTGACAGATTCAAGTACACCACTTAGAAGCAAGACCGCTCATATCTACTGCACTCTGTCGAGTACACGAGCGGTCACAGCAGCCTTCAACAGATTCGCCACAATACTTATAAGGATTTGATTGTATGCAATAGAGCTCTCATCCTGTTAGTGAAGCCAATCTACGCTGGAAAGCCTACAGGCATTGCACAGTTGTTTCATTCTTGTTGGAAATCCTCAGTAGTGTGCATCACAGAGTTTTGAACTCGCGATCTTCCGGCCAGCGATTAAACGCTTAACGGTTTGCCATGAGCGGCTGAACAGCAGTGTGATTAGCTTTCAATTACCGGACGAGACCTATACTGAGCATTACCACATCTCCTCATTTCACCATCGACACGATGAAAAAGGAACAGGCGTACCTAGCAAATGAGTCCATATGTTGCCGGTTTCGGTATGCACCCGGAAAATTGAAGCGAAACAAGCCCACACAGTGTACAGCTGTGGTCGGTGTCCACGAAGCAACATCTCATTGTCCTTTAGCCAAGTCGGTAAACGCTGGAAGTGGACGACCTGCCAACCACGCATCCAGATCTGTCGAGCGTATTCCTCAGCGCTTTGCGCCAGTGTGTGCATGAGCTGTGGGAGAATCATCCAAAACACAACCACATTTATTCCATGAGCATGCAAATTAGAAAGAGAATAGTATGGAAGGTTATGAGAAGTGTTGCAGCTTTATGTTATGATAGGTTCGATATTAAGGTTGACACCGCAAAAATGAGTAATAATATATCATTGAATAAATCACAGTAACATCCTAGTATGCCTCACGTCAAATAAATTTCAGCTGTGGCACCTTTTTGGTACATAGGTTCCGCCTAACCTAAAAATGCAAGATGGATGACATGCCCAAACTCACACAGGAGCTACCGAAAAGCCAGAGCTGCTCACGAACTATTGAGATACCAGTCAGTTGCTCGTACGTTTTTCGAGCTCTCTACCTTTTTTTAAACGGGTCATAAAACGATTATGAAAGTCCGGGAGCACGCCTACCAAATGAGGACTACTAAGTCCCCTGAGGCAAACCAACAAACAATACATTTCGGATATCGTTCTTGGAGGTAGGTGCATAGCACAACAGTCAATAAGTAAACAGATGCACAATGAGACAGTCTGAGTAAACTTGATTCGTGAGGAATTGAGTCAGGAGAACCAAAAAGTAGACATTGTTTGTTGTTTTAACGCGTGCGAAACAACGAAGTTCGCGATTGTAGTGAGCAAGCAAGACCAGCGATAGTCCACAAACTGAACGATCACTCATCGGCCTGATGATCGATGAATTTAACTGAACGATAAGGAACACGAAGTTACGAAGAAGTTATATACACAATGGTTATAAATATGCATTTTCTTCCCAACCAGCCGGTTATTCGGAACAGTTGTGTTATTTGTCGATCTTGATGAGGACCAATCCAATAAACTGTTGTTTGGTGTGTTTGCCGTTTCGCTACCAATCGAGGAGACATCGGGATTACGCTGTTGGATGACATTACTAGGACTAGTTCCCATATGGTAATACGCCATCTTTGCATCACTGATCAGTACTTGCACTGATAAACGATGCCATTCAGATCCACCTCACGGATGTAAAAGCAGTATGTGTATAGCCACTCATTAAGCGCCATCTACCTAATCCGACCATCATATTACGATGCTCGCGCTAGAATGGAATGTCAAAAGTGTTGTTACAGGTATTGCGAATGCTGTGGTGGCTCATGAGAAGGAACTACAAAGCAGCTACATAAAACCGTCCGAGATAACGGGGTAAAGTAACTCATGTCACTTTGAGTGTGCGATGGATTGCACCGCTGTCGACCACATAAGAACTTCGTTCACGGCCAGACTAGAAGTCGGTCCCAATAGCCCTGGTGTAGTAGACTTTGATGGTCCTCGTTGTAAAGCCATGATGTTTGAATGACTAGGCCAAGGGTAGCATCGCAGTCTCGGGTTTATCACAGGAAAAACTGTGTGGCTTATTTTGTTTTTTAGTATGAGAAGATGAAAATATGTCAAACCGGCCACTTGGGGTCATAGTTTTAGCGAGCTAACAGACCGAAACACAAAGTTAGTGGACCAAACATGACAAGAATAATCGAACGCACATATCCTTCAGCACGCTTAAGCCGGATCTCATCTCATCTGATATCCTGAGTCCAAGGACAGTCTGCGGAAAATGAAGAGACCAGATGACGAGTTGAATCCACGCTAACAAGCAGTATGATCTCAATTAGTTACGGATTACACGAGATAAAGCGGCTGTGCATGTTCTGCATTTTCGTCACACCGGTGCAGCATGACAAGATAACAATAATATAAATAAATAATCGTTCATTTGTAACACCCTTTCGGCACATAGCTGCAGGACAGCATTCTCGGGGTCGAACGTGGGTCGAATCCATGTGCGTGAAATTGTGCAAAAGATTAAGATGTGGGCTGACGAAGAGTGATTCCAGCTAGCCCTTAGCGTCACTTTGACCTTGTTGCCTCCTACTAAGGATTCTACAATGGAATGAGTTAATTTTGCTCCAAGAGCAGGAGCTTGGTTGGCAGAAGACACGTTTTCAAGAGTATGGAAAACTAACAAAAAATACTCCATGCTGTTTCGGTATAACTAAAATTACAACCAATGATCCAAAAAACTTACGTGTGTGAAATCTTTGACACGTTGGTAATTAACACAGTGTACCTTCGAGTTCTCATCCTCGACTAGCTGCATGTCCTGTGATCCCCCGACAGTTTCTAGACAAGTAAACCGAAGTGGGATTCAACCAACCTGTGTTTGGCTCGACCAATGATGTTGGTGGACAGCTGAAAAACGTCCCCCGAACTGTGACCTCCAGCTCATCCTCACCCGCGGCCATTACAACTGTACGCCGTGGCTAAAGTTAGTAAAAGCGATATCTCAGGAGTCTGAAACCTAAAACGATGAGTGAGTTCCATGACTCACGTCCCAACGATAGAAAAAGACATTCACATCACCAACCGATTGAACATAGCGTAACGGCGGGTACTACTGATGAGGCATGCGAGTAGCGTGTGGCTCTTTCGTGACTCCGCCTCGAGTCAAATGGAAGGTGCGCCCCATGAGGTTTATTACGGAACTCGTGGAACTGCTTTACAGCGTTCGTTTACAATTGCGTGGTAGTCAATGAATATCTACGAAAGCTCAAGAAGATGCGTGAGGATTCCCTTTTTTTCAAAAATAGCGTGTATGAGATGTTTACCTTCCTGTCCAATAGTTTGTAGCCGTTAAGTTGTTGTTCGTTAGTGAACGTCTTCGCAGCGAAGGGCTTTCCCCCTTACAACAGTATCTCATTCAAACGAAAGAAGACGTAATACGATGTTACCAATTCTTGTGCCATTCGCGGTTACACACCTAAAACAGGTGGGTTAAATATAATGAGTTGAAGCATTTTTGAACAGGCACTTATTGGTTGACAACACCAGACCAATATCATGGTAACCGTGTAGCATATTTTACAGTCTTTTGTACAGGAGTAGCTGCGAATGCAGTGCTTCACGAACTGCTAACACCCCAGAGTTGTTGTCGTGTGACAACATTACAGAAATCCGTGAGGTGAACTTGGCGACCTTTTCCTGGGGGTTATGGTTTGAAATCTAATCTGTTATCCGGATCACACATATTCAGGTTCGTTCACCTGCGTATCCCACTAGATACCTATCTAACTACTGGTGTGAAGGTCTGCGTAATAGCGGAGCTCGCAGACTAAATGGGAGGAAGAGAGAACAGAAACCCTAATCCCACAATTTTTGAAAAGCATGAAGGATTAACATGATGTTAATGTTTTACACAGAGGCGTAGTACGACCAAAGTTGACTTAAGTCTCATTTTGTGGATCCAATGTGATCAAGCACCAGATCAAACACTGATACCATCGACAGCATAATGTCAGTGTTTAACACGGACGCTCCGCTGCCGTACAACCCTGATTTATTTGAAAGCCCTACTGTGAAGAAAAAATAAAGGTGGGCAGGGAAGGGACTTAGTGCTAGGTTGCCAAAATCCCGCCCAAAATCCTACACTTCTAAACACCCATTCAGGCAATCTGGGTAGGAACTGACAGCAAGAATGCCACCGACGTCGATTAGCAGCCATTTCTTGCAGGTTCTCAGACCAGGAGCGGTGGAGATCTGGCGGTCCCTATCCCGGGATGCGAGTTTCACTGAGAGCACCCAAACTTTCGTAATCTCTTTAATACTCCTCTATCAGGTCAAGGGTTGACCGAGACTCTGCTTCGTCACTTTGAATTGGACACGGAAAACAGCAACCCTATCAGTAAGTGATGGCTCAGCATACGCAATACATGGCCTGACCAACAAAGCTTCTCTAGTGGAATTACCCGTCGCACAACCGAAAACTAGCTTTCCAACTGTCTCTTTACGAATTTGAAGGCACTCACCCACACGAACAATGGTTCTGAACAACAGTTGTCGAACACCTGAGGACGTCTCAGTTCCACTGCCTGAACAGGCCAAGTCTCACGGTCATGCAGCAAAACAACCCATGAGTGCAGGAAAGCCCTTTGCTGCGAAGTTATTCATTACCAAACACGAACTAAGTAGTTACGAGCCTGGAAAGACATGAAAGACACGAAAGTAAACACTCCATATGCACACAGTTGTTAAAAACTGAACATTCACACGCGTCCTTTTAAATTTTTCAGAACATTCAATAACTATTACACAATAACAAGCAAACACTGCAAAGCGGTTCCACAATTTCCGTAATAAAGTTCACTTTCCATCGGACGCGGGGGCGGAGCTTGGACACCAGATTATAGACCACTCGCATACTCCTCCAGTAATATACACCGTTACACTCTTACTGTAGCCTGAAACACACGTCCTTTGGGAATTAGGGATATACCGCCTTGACGCCATAAGTGATTCAGATTCGCAAACACGAGGCGAGCGTTACTGATTCATGAGTTGATCTCATCTGTCACTACAATCAGGACTAATACAACTTCCAGTATACGTAAAGTGCCCCAAACCTTCAAGTGTCTCTCCTTGGACTGCATGTACAGGCCTCACACTTTGCTGGTGTAAAGTGCATACCAAAGGACGGGATCATATTGGTCAGCTGATCCAAAAGCACCTGAGCCTTCTTCTCCCCTTTGAAGACGAAAACGATATCGTCTGCATATTTCAGATCGGCAAGGTTTTCGCCAGAGGTTAGTTGAACACCGGGGTTTTGAAGATCTTCCAGCTTTCATTTCATTAACTATTAGACCAAAAAATTAAATAGGAATGGAGAGAGTGGGTATCTATGACGGACGCCGATTTGTGTACAGAAGCTTCTGGAGAGCTCTCCGTATGCTGGCACACGTTCGGAAGTCTGAGGATACAGAGAATTCACAATGTTCACAAACTGCCGTCGCACTCCTTGATGGGCACGCGTGTCAAGGATAACACACAGATAAACCGAGTTGGATGCGCCTTGAAAATCAAAGAATGCTAAAATTGTTGAGCGTTTATATTTTTGGGTTGTCTTGGCACAGATAAACCGAGTTGGATGCGCCTTGAAAATCAAAGAATGCTAAAATTGTTGAGCGTTTATATGTATAGCGTTGTCTTGGCATCTGACGGAGTGTGAAGATTTAAACAACGCAACCCCAACCAGGCCAGAAACCTGCTTGCTGCTCTCGAGTGAATGTTTCACGAGACACCATAAGGCGGTGAAGCACAAGTGATGCCAGAAATCTCGTTACAATGAAGATGAAGCAGATAGCCCCGTGGTTGTCACATTCACCATGAGCTCCCTTCTTGAAGATGGGCACTATCATTGACTTCCTCCGAGTGTCTGCGACGAGCTCTTTGTCCCAGATGCAGACAAACAGATCGGATAAGGGCAGACTGAGGACTTCACCCTGATCGTTGAACAGTATGGGTGGGAGGTAAGGTCCAAAAGCTCGATGGCGCTCGAGAGAACATATGCACACAAACCTCCGAGGCTGTAGAGGCTTCCATGTCCACAATCCAGGGTTCTGCGTCAGCTGTGATCACGAGAACTGCTGTTCGAAGCATTCGGCCCACCAGGCTGTGCGTTCTTTTTTATTCAAGATGGTCGCCCCACTCTGATGCTTGATGGTTTCGCTCACAGGTACTTTCCGGGGACCGGATAAACCGAAATAACCTTCGGACACTTCCGACTTTCTGAGCCTATTCAAATTCTTTAGGTTTACGAGTCCACCAGACTTCACAGTCGGCGAGTACGATCACCTTCATTTAAGGTATGGTAATTCGTCGGGCGAAATTATTTTCAGGACTGGCAGGGATACTTCTCCAACATCCATGCAGTGCCACTGTTTCGTCCGATATCCAGCGCCCGAGTTGGTTCCGCAAAAAATAAGTAATCGTTCAGCTGTAACATCCTTTCGGTGTCTAGCTGCCATGCCACCAGGAGGAAGCAAGAGGGCTGGGATACTGCCAGTTTGCCAAAGCCTAGACAGGGGGGGAGTCGAGAGGCGGAGGTCATATTCGAACCACGGACCTTACGGTCAATAAATTCGCCCTCTAACCACTGGGCCATCTGGCCTGGTGGCAACGTGCAAGAGGCAAAGATCCCAGTACTGTGATCTAGTTCTAACATGAATTCATGTCTCACGGCTGGGTGGTTGGAAGCGAATCCAGAAAACGAATCTGATACATTCGTCTGAATTCTAAATCTGCCAGCATCTCAGTTGCTAGGTGATTTGTGAGCGTTAGGCATGTGCGCATACGTCCCCACAGACTGCATTTCTGAGACTGAGGATAGGTTTTATCAAGCTCAGTCGCGACTGCTTCGGTAAGCAAGAAAGACAGATAGTAATCCCACCGGTTGATTTGGATTCCCAAGTTGGACGAATAAGTATGGAACAAGCACAAGAAGGCGGTAGATTTGGTGTCTATGCTCAAAGCACGGATAATGGGGGGGGGAGACTGTTTCAGTTGTGTGCTGACCATCGTTTGCCCCTAGCCAGTACGAACTTTCAACACAAACGCTCACATCGAGTTACTTGGAGACCACCTACCACAAGACAGTTGTGGACTCAATTAGACCATGTGGCTATCAGTTAACGACGGAGAGTCTCAGTTAAGCATTGTCGTTAATTCTGGTGTACGCAACTTGACTCTGATCACGCCATCGTGCGGACCCGGCCAGCACTTCGCTTTCCGCCAGCATTGCGTGTACCAACGGAGAGTAGCTACATTCATCAACTACGACAAGATTCGGTAGCTGAAGAGTATCGAGCTGATCTGTCTAGAAAGCCGTTGGAGGTAATTGGTGAAGAGTGTTTGAAGGCTGGATGGAGGCGAACTAAGGAAGTAATGCTCCCGGCTTTAAGAACTGCTTGTCCGGGCCATCCGACTCTAATTGAACACTGGACATCGTCGTGGTTAGCAGATATTATTGCGTCCAGAAAACCCATACCAGCAACTGGTGACTGTGGTAGCACACGCAGATCCCGCTAACACCGGATAATCAGAAAATTGAATAATGTCGGAGAAATCTGGTGGATTTCGAGGGCTCAGGAGATAGGGAAGGCTTTCGCTGCAAGCAATAGCTGCGCCCTACTTCACCTGATTCGATCAACCGGCCAAAAGAAGGCACATGTCAGTGAAACAATATGTGGGGAAGATGAAACAGCAATTCACTCGTTGAATCGCCATCGTGAGCGATGGGCTGAAAACTTCAACATAACTTTTCAAGAACCCATCAGACTTGAACAGAATATTGACACCAGCCCATCATCATCAACAGAAACCCTGCGTGAGATATCAATCCTCAAGCATGACAAGGCGCTTAATGTGGAGGACCTGTAACTCACACGCTTCAAAGGTGACGGAGCTCTGGTGA